GATGGGAATGCAGATCTCTTCAGGGAGGGTCAGGCTTCTCAAAGCAGGAGTCAACAGAAGGAGGATTATCAGGTGTTGTGCTTTGAGGCAGACTCTCCAGAGATGTTGTTATTTTGCCCTCTCTCTGCTATTAACCTCCCTCTGCCGTCCTCGCTCTCTCCTCGCCGCTCCCAGGTTGCGCAGCACCTTGAATCTTCATACATGGCCTCTCATAGAAAAATACGGGATGTTATGCTTTCACTGTCCTTTTCCATCAGGGCTTCAATCACCACCTGCCAATCACATGCATCTGCTGCCTCCAGGCTGACACACACAAGCACACAGTGACACATCAGGATATAGAAACAAGCACCTTTATAGATGAGAAAAATAAGAAATGGCGGTCTCTAATCTCATCACATAAAGGGCAGGAGTGATGTGCACTGCAAAGTATCTGGTGCAGAAATGTGAAAGGAGTCTTATACAATCATAACTCTTCCTAAAAACTTTAAAAACATCAGTGTTATATACAGTCACTGCACTGTACAGATTTAGAGACTCAGCACTAACGTGAACCCGGAGGCCTGGGGCATGCTGGGACAGCTCAGGGCAAAAAGAATCTGTCACTCTTTGTCTCTATGGCAGCTCGCTGAAGAGAGGGGCCACAGAGATGCAGCAGATAGATCTCAGCGGGAGAGGAAGGAAACCGCTTGGATGCATTTGAGGTTCATGGATGCCAGCAATCATCGTGTCACTGTGTCACGAGGAATTCCCCCCAGTACTCTTTTAGCCAGAGGGAAGGGAAGAAACAGCAACACATGTGAGATGCAGACATTTTAGGAACTTAACAAGAATTATTCCGCTGCAGTGAAGCTGACTTGAGATCAGATCTCCAACATTTGCAATGTTATTTGTAATTGCAGCCAAATTAAAAGTTTAGGAGACTGATATTGTGTCCTGATTACAATAAGCAATGCATGGTAGCTGAGATCAAACATCATTTTAATTGGACGCGTCTCTTTTTGTATGTAAAGGCAGCACACATGAGCCTCAGAACTGCAAATAACGTAAAAGTGCAAAATTGCTGCACCCAGCTTTATTGACAGTCGATGATTGGGACTCAGCCTCGGATTATACGTTTCAGCACCATAGAGATTCAGAGAGAACCGAAGACAGAATCATCATGTGTACTATACCAGACTAACAATTCAACATCCGTGCATGTGAGGTGTTTAAAAAATGTCTACAATCTTAAATGTGTTCACCTGAACTCCTGTTCATATCTAATGGCTAATGGAGTGTCCATTTATCTCCGAGCTGCGAGGGGAGGAAGGTGCTGCCAGCTGTGTTATTATAGAATTTTGCACTCGTTCATCAGACGTGTTTCATACACACACACACACACACACACACACAGTCTCATCTCCTGTGGTGGCGGCAGGCTATGACCTCCGACCCTTGTGTGCCATTGAGTGCACAGATTAGTCATCACCAATGCGCCTGAGCAGCTGAATTGGACCCGTGCAGTCGCAGAGTGATGTGATTATTCCACTCATCCCTTTTCCAGTGACCACTGCCGGCTATAAAGCAAACCTCTGCCTCTCCGACATGTTGTGCTCCTCTTTGTGTGGGTAGAAGATGATCTCAGTGACTGTTGGAACATATATGAATGCAATCCCTGCAGCACCACAGCAATATTAGCTTTCAGATGTGATGTGGAAATGAAATTCAGGTGCAATCAGCCTGCAGGTAATAGCACTTTAATGAAACGTTTTGGAAACAGAAACACAGATCCTGGCGGAGGTCATTCCTCAACTCTAAATCATAATGAGGCTGATTCATTTCTCCATCGTGTTAATATAAAAAGCATCAGCTTCTGAGAATGAGATTGAGGGTGTCCTTAATTGTCAATTAAAGTTGTATTTAAATGAGCACAGGGAGTAATGAAAATACTTTCAATTATATTTGCTTTCTCTGCCAAAATCCAGCTCCCACATGTGAAAGGAGTCAAATCATTTGTGGAGAAGTCACAGATAAATCACTAATACTCTTATTGTGGATATGACAGAGTGCTCAGTGGTATATTTAGCTCTGACTGATGATGGACCAGGTTGTGACTTTGTTAATGATGTTTTTCTGCAGATTTGCTGATTATCATATCCATAATGCCAAATATCAAACTAATGAAATCCCTGAAGCACAGAAAGCCATTAACAACCATTAATCAGGCAAAAACAATCAATACCTTTTCTTTTCTTTATGAAGAAATGGTAAAAGAAGGATTGGCCCCTGAAACACCATCAGCGGTTTGTGATATCATGATGGTCCATATTTGCACAATACACACCTGGCAGCTAGTCTGACACGACCCCTAACAACGCCACGAGCGGACATTACCTCCGGACATTACCTCAATCCACACTACGGTGGATTTGATCCACTCATCAGAGGCTTCTTTATGCAACTAAACTTGTAGCCAGTGTTCATCTATTATAAATAAAGCTGTGGCTAAGCTGCTACTTAGTAAGCAACGATCTGCAGGAAACATGTTTACAGAACATCATTGCTTACTAAGTAGCATTGTGATAGTAGGAAAAATGGCATCAGAACTAAGTGAAAGTGACAGAAGTAAAATTGTTATTCTAAGCATAGAGGAGCTTCCTCAGCATCAAATCATGACTAGACTTAAGGTTCCTACGGGGGCAGTGCATGGAACTCTAAAGCGCTTTGCAGAAACTAGATCAGTTGCATTTAAAGCACGATCAGGCAGAACAAAAACAACCACACCTTCAGACGATCAACAATGAAGCTCAGGTCCCTGAGAGGTAGAAACGCTGCTTCTTCATTGAAACAGAATGTGCTTAATATTTGCTGAATAAAGAATGCACATTTCAAAAAGCAGCAAATGTACAATTAAAGGAAGTTATCTTGCGGAGGTCTGAGAGAACGAGGAGCGGTTTCTGCAGTGCAGGAGCAGTGTTTGAGATTTATGGCAGTAACAGAGGGGTGTATGGAAGAAGGCGAACAGGAGAGAGAATGAGACCGCAGTGTATTAAACTGACAGTGAAACATGGCGCTGGGAATATTCAAGTCTGCTGGAGTTTTGCCTACTGTAGAGCACGACACCTGCACCAAATTATCTACAAGCTGACGAAAGGAGAAGTACCACTGGATTCTTCAGAGACATGCTGCAACTTTAAGTCCAAAGCAGGCAAATGAGTTGATAACTCGATTGAATAAGGTACGGGTGATGAAATAATCAAATATTTGTTTTACAGATGACTATCAAATAACTGTGTGACATCACCCTGTGATATTTGCACACTTCACTCCCTGGCTGAAACACTAAACTCATTTATTCCTTCACCCCAGTGTCCACCTACAGTTTATGTTCCATGTTATTATAATCATGACAATCCCTGTGGTACTGAGCTTGATTTATCCATGTGGATAGTTGAGAGGTCAGAGCCTGGATGCTAAATATCAGCTCTGTAAACAGTCTACATTTAAATAACAAATTCCAGCTCCCGCTTGAGCTATGTTCCCTTTGAATATTGACACTCCCTCATCCCTATAGTGCAGAGTTTGGCCTAAATGTTCCCTGGTTGAAACACTTGACCTACTACAGTGTCCACCTCTGAGCTCCCATCGACAGGGAACTGATATCGTTTCCAATTCCTGCAGGGAAAAGTTAGTGTATCCTTGTGGGGAGTGACGAGGTCAAAGCTTAGATGCCAAAATTAAATACAGGCCAATAATAATTGAATTCACTTTTCCCTGGTTGAAACACCAAACATCTTACTGTCTGCAGCAACGTCCCTCCAGTGTCCACCTCTGTGCTCTGAGTATGTTCCCTCAGGGGTCGAGTTATTATCATTCCCCATATTCTGCTCTGCTGAGCTTGATTTATCCTTGTGGAGAGTGATGAGGTCAGAGCCTCGATGCCAAATATCAACCCTGTAAATAATTCCACATGCACACAATAATCCAAACTGCTTATGTTACCTTCAGGCTCCTTTGTGCTCAATGTAAAATACATACACAGAAAAGGACGGAGCCTTTTGGTCGTACTCTGCAACCTCTGATGACTGACCAGTACAACTGAGAGAAGATTGGACGAAAATCAAATCTGAGTCGAACAATAGCCAAGGCAAAGTAGAGGACTGTGTGACATCACTCTGCATCGCCCTCTAGTGGATATATTGCTTAACAACCATGCCAACATGGAGAGCGCATGTATATGAAAATAAACAGTATAGGAACATTCTTGGAAATCCAACCCCTATGTTTTAACAAGATCAGGCCCAGGACAATGCCCTTCACAGACAGAACTCATTCTACACTTGAAAAGATGCTTTTGTTTGCTTCAGGGGTAAAAGTCCAAAACTGCTTTAATACATTTCCTCACATTGTCTACAAAGGTACCTTATGAATCACATCTTTCATCCTCACAAATATCTTGCCTCCCGGCCATGAGTGAAACAAAACAGGCTAATAGGCTAAAAGACATTTCACAGTCAACATCCACAAACACAACCTCTTACAAAGTGCATGCACACAAGAATCAATGCTTGCAGAGTAATTGGAAGCTACAACTTGTGCCACCTGACATATTCTGCTGCGCTCTGAGTTATGTTTCACAAGAACTTTGACATACTTTCTGCTAGTTGCTGGCTGGTAAATGGTAACATCAAACTGTGCTTACATTCAGTGGAGGACCAGTTAACAGATTCATATGAGATTTTCCCCCAAACAGCATGACAACAAACCACACTTCAGCATTTAGGAGCCGAGGGATGTTCAAATACTAAAAGTCTGAGAGATGCCCAAGGCATTTTGAGTTCACACGAGAGACAATCCATTCCTCTAGCAAAGAACAAGCTTTAATGAAACGGTCTGTATTTCAAGGGGAAGTTTGTAAGTGCAGTATACACTATCTAGCTTTTCATGAGTTCCTGCTGGCATTTGCATTGAAAACAATACACAACGTTTTCATAAAAACAGAAAAAGATGAGACTCACCAAGAGGCTGTCCAGCGATGACACGGGCATTTTCTCCTGCCACAGCTGCTCGAGCGTTCCTCTCATTCACGTACTGCACAAAGGCGTAACCCTTGTGTACGGAACAACCCACTATCTTGCCGTACTTGGCGAAGATGACCTCTATGTCTGTCTTCTTGACAATGGCTGTGTTGAGGTTGCCGATAAAGACTCTGGAGTTGAGGGAGCGCGGGTCATTCTTGTTGGTCACGTTGCTTGTTTGGGTTTTACCAGTCATTCTCCTCCAGTTGCCCTCCTGGGACACACACATGGGGGGGAGGAAAGGACTTTAGAGGTTTTGGACAGGCCAACTCCAGATAAAGCTGCTCCTAAAGAAAAACACTGCAGAACCCCAAAGTGTTAATCAAATCAGTATAATAACACATGCTCCCTGACTCCTATCACGCTCACCAACGACCAAATTGTAAATCGGAATATCCGACTTCAGAGCTGTCTGAAACGCAGCATTGGCTTTTTAGATGTGTGTCTCAGATGAACATGTATAAAATCACAAGTCTTCCAAAACAACTTTGACTTAGCTTGTTAGCTCGCCAATTAACTAGTATGTACAGGAAGTAACAATTGCTTCCTATACGACTTTTAGCACAGTAGCCAGTAAAAGTAATTTTGAACTAACCCGTTGCTTTATGTAATTACAGTGCAAAGATGACCGAACTTTATTACCCAGGTTTCATATGCTGCCAACTTGGGTTTCCTGTTAAATTCAGAGTAACTGCAGCAGCGTTGTGATTTCAAAAGTCTCCAGTTGTGGTTTCCTAGCTGTTAAAATAAGGCACATTTCAAAAGGGCATTTGATGATAAAAATCAATTCAATCATTACTCTGAAATTGATAAAATATAATTTCATATCAAGGTTTTCTTTGGTTCATTTGACGTAATTATTCTACTTCTATATTATTTAATACCTTCTTTATTTTTCTGGTATCCAACACGTTGGGGTTCTTTGAACATGAGATAAGAATAAATGCTTGAAATGCTCCCACGGGAAAAACTGAGTAGGGAAATAAGAAGGAGCAACAATATGTAAACAGTTTTCTCTGTTTAGCCATCTCAATACCCATATTGTTGCATCTCTCAAGCTTTGTGTGCCACAGCAAGTGACAGTTTTATTCAGACTCCTTGTTCTGTCAATGCATATTAGAGAGTTTTAGATTTCCCAGTACGTTAGTTTTTAATGACAGCTGATCGGCTGCAGTCGGGGAATTCATCTACCCAAGGAAAGGATGCACTGTTCAACAACTCATATGTTATTAAAGTTCTTTCAAAGTAGATGGATGGATTGATACCACACATGTCTCATTGCTTTACCCATTGATTTTTTGTAGTTAATGAAATCACATGATTCCATTTTCATACCTGTAGAAATCCAGGTTTTCGTTAGCGTTTGTACTCCGAAATGTACTATTCTTACTGCATTAAATAGTCTGATATATTGTGAGGGAAACACTGAATATTCAATATTTGCTTCCTCTGAGTCTCTGTCCCTGACACTCGGTGATAACAACTGCTTTGAGACGAAGAACCTGAATAATGGATCCAATCCTCAGTAAATAGGATTAGTAACCAAGGTAACGCAGATGTTGTTGGAATAGTGCACACACACTTGCACGCACACATTTTTTCAATGGAAGTCATTTCTTTTCTCGCTTATACAACTTTATTTTTCTTTGCAAAGAGGCAGCTGACACTGTGTGGCCTCAGTATCGTCATAATTACATGATGCAGTTTAACTGTGGCGTGGTAGACGATAATCGGCTTGTTCGGCTAAGTATAGCACGGTGTGAGATTACGTCTAAAGTACAGCGGGGGGGGGGGGGGGGGTGTAATTTTACAAATATGCAGGAGATAAAGGAGGAGACTGACCAGTCATCCAGAAATTGGACAGCAGATGTTTGATTTACGGGGCAGAGCTTCCCTGTCAGGCGACCATTGTACCTGACACTGGGATCATGCGAGACATTCGGCTGCTCACTCATGGATAAACACGTATTATTCCACTCGACAGCATCTGTTTTTAGCATTACATCACCTGAAGTCTGATGCTATTCACTTTCACGTTATTATTCAACACCCACTAGAGGTGCTCGGTGATTCAGGACTCCTGTGGGCCCTTTGTTTACAGTGCACAGTGCATCAGTGTGTGTTTTTACTGCATGTGGGTGTGTGTGTGTGGGAATAACCTGCTGATCGCCATCTCTCAAGTGACCTTGACATTTATCAGCACCAGACAGTGAAAATTAATGTGGCGCAGGCACACACACACACACACACACATGTGCTAACTGAAATGAGCTCCACAATTACCACCTAATGGTGGTTTAAACCCACAATCTGACACCCACCCCATATCGATGTGCACGGACAGGTCACCGGGAACATGACAAATCAGCGGAGAAGTGTTAGATTGCCTCTCTTGTCAGATAAATCGGGACTGGGGACTGGCCACGAGGCCACTGCTCTTTACTGACATATTTCATGTTGTCTTCAGGGTTATTTTCTTTAGAGCAGGGCACTAATTTATTCCATCAGTGGCATTCCTGCTGACCTTGCCTTTTAGTTTATTTACAACCTCCATTAAGCTTCACATCCCATGAGGTGATAGCGTTGTGAGGAGAAACATGGGAGAACAACGCTGGAAGTGATAGGAGCCAGTGGAGCAATTTGCAAAATAATTGTTCGGAGGACTTGACATTTGTTATCAAAAGCACGGAGAAGCGCTTCATCCCAGAGATGCAGTGTGCAAACTGCTTTTAAAGGAAAAAATGATGACCTGGTGTTCAGAGTGATTACAGCGTCCTCATTACTCTGTCAGGTTTTTTATGTGAGCGAGGAGCAGAAGTCTTCATTTTCACTTTCATGCAGAAGAAGTGTCACATTTTTAGAAAAGGTGGGTGTCTCCTTTTCGAAATGAAACACTTTCCATTACATGAAATCCTGGCTTGTCTTTCCTTTTAATGTGGCACAAGAAAGCTTCTCTAACGATATTAAAAAAATGTGGATAAGTTCAGCAGAAAAAGCACCAAGGTCATGTTGTTATCAGTGCTGCTGTGTTGGGGTAAAGTGAAAAAAGAAGGAGCTTTACTGTGGATATTACTGAGTTCTCCCTCGCTCTGTAACGCATTGTGCCTTTGTAGACAGCCTCTTAAAAGGTTGTTGTTTGGGTCTGGCCATCTGCCTGATTTATAGACATCTCTCGCAAAGGGAGGGAACTCATTGAATTGATTCCTTTCGTAATTTCCCACCACTGTACATTTCTCTTCGCCATGCCTCAGCCACTCCGCTCTGATTGTTGCCAAGGCAGCTTGACGGGCTGAGGAAAGGCTGGAGGTGCTGCTCGCTCAGACAGAACAGAGAGAGGTAGCCCGATACACCTTTTCCCCCGGTGTTGCTGCCATGTACTGCAGAGGTGGAATAATTGCTTCGTGGATTCCCTCCATTTATATCGTGTCTGAAGATGTGTCTCTGCCTGTGAAAGCAACGACAACAACTGAGGACACGCACACACACACAAAAAAATCCCTCTGTTTGTAAATCAATGTTTCTATTTGCATTGTTGGCGGCAGAGAATTACTGTGGAGCACCCAGCCATGAATGAACTGAAGCTCTTCTGCCCCGCAGGGACAAACTGCTGTCACAAAAACTGTTGTATGGATTTAATTGAATATCAGCAGAATGACACATAATAAGGTAAAGATGTGCACAGACCACTTACACCTTCCTTTTGAAAATGAGTTACGTTTCAAAATAGACAGACAAGTCTCATTTTCTACACATCTTCAGCCAAGGGTTCAAGCATAGAGTCATTTCAGGGGATGACACATATTAAAAGTCGTAGGAATTATTTATTCTGTACAATATTTGCATTGAAAAATGTCATGGTCAGTGCCTTTTATTTGTAATGCGTGAGAAGACATGAGCTTTAACTAACATCAACTCTCACATCTGCAGTAAGAATAACTGAATGTGATCCAAGATGTGTGTGTGCAGCATGACTCAGTTGTTTATTTAGAGTTACATCACTAGTTTGACAGGTCCGTGATGTCAAGTGTGTGACGTGGTCTTGTTTTGTCCTCTGCACGTCTTCATGCCTCACTGGAAATGTTTCAGAGGTTTCAGAGGTGTGAATTTTGTCTGCCCAGTTTTATTGACCTGCCATTTTGGTAATTGATCTCAGATTTGTGTGCTACTCCCACGGGTCCATGGTGAAAATACTCTGATCCTCTGGTGCCGCCGGTTATGACTCTCATGTCGTGATGTGATATATGATCGGCAAGAATCTGCACATTTGATTAAAATACACATTTGACCCAATGTTCAAAGGTAGAACAGGTTTGTGATGCAGCAGCCCACTCAGTACCGGTGAATCATGTTAGTGGTGCCCTGCAGTCATGCACGTTTAGAAGTTTGCACCATTTATATACCAAGGAAAAAATACAAACCCTTACAAACAAAATTAACAGCAATTGACCCTTGTAAACTATAATCATTTTCTCCATGTTAGGAAGTTTAGAGAGGTCACAGGGAAAGCTGCGCCAATGGAGTGTTTGCATTGATTGAAATAGAACTGCAGGTCTCCTTGATCTGTCTTTACCGACACAACTCGTGATATTTTATTCCTTTAGCAACTACATTCAAAAACATGGATTCTCTAAAACTCTGTATTTTTTATATTGTAGAGAACACTATTCTACTTGGGCGGTTACTACATTTATGCTCCTGGGACAAAGTCTATACCCTGTGTACCTCATACATCTTTTCTGACTTCAGCCTCTCTCTGCAGGACCATTTCCTCTTTCCTGCAGAAAACCTCATTTCACTACAAATAGAGGCTCTTTGCTTTGCAGCTCCAACCATTTTATTCCTGCCGAACTCTGTCCTCAGAAAATTCATTGACTATTTAAAAGCCTGAAGCAATTAGCTAAAATGCAAATGAAGCCATTTCTCTATTGGCCCTCATTCACCTGCAGTGAGGAAACTGGTAATGTGCGGTCGGTTGGAGAAAATCCGACATGCAATGACATTCGAGTAGAATTTGTTATTGTCCTGGGGGGGGGGTATTTTTGATGGACAGGGGGACACTTCGACTGTAATGACAAGATTACATTTCTTTCTAGGGTAGAATGCAGCTGCACAAAGTTGAAACTAATCTGGTCAAACACAGCGAGCTGTCGAGTGCAGGATAGATCAATCTCTGTCTGCTCTTAATCCAATTTGATTTTTTGCTAAGGATAGCAC